GGATAAAATCATTTATCCCATCGTCAAGCTCTTTGTTTGCAATTTTTGATTGTTTGAAAGTTAAGTTGGACAGGCGAGTGTTTTTCTTTTTGGGTACTTAAGGCGAGTGTTTTCAATCCTTGACTAATGTAATCATTTTCGCAACAAATGTTGGTTAATATAATAACGAACCTGATACCAAAAAAAAATAATAATAATAATGAACCTAAATCTTTTTCGACACGTGCTTTTGCACGCGCTAAGAATTTTTCTCTCTCTTGAGACAGTTACTCGATCCTGAGTTAGTTGCTTTCCTCGTTTCTTCTGAGAATTGTTAGGGTTTTTCTGAGTTTTTGATTAGGGTTTCTTAGTTCGAATTCTTGAGATATCTCATCGATTTCTCTTGATTTCTTGTCTTTCCTATGAGTTTTTCAGGATCGATTAGGTTTTTTTGGTCTAGTTTTCTTGGAGTCTTTTTCTTTTTGAGTCACCAGTTACTGATTCGTTTTCTTGTTTTCTTTGATTCTTGATCGAGTCTTTGAGTTTTCTTGTGTCTTTTGATTTGCTTGTGTTTAGGTTTCTTTTTACTTTCCGGATAGATCTGTCATTGGATACCACCTTGACAAGGGATACAGAATACTCATACTCCTTGGTGGATTCCAGGGGGACCGTTTTGGAGGCTGTTTGTTTTCTCTTTCAATCGGAGAACAGAGACTTTGCAATTTCTTTGGAGGATGGAGGAGCCGATTGAGATCGTGCTTGAAGTCGCCAGGGAGGAAGTTAGTAGGGCGATTCGATATGCCTTAATTGGGAAAATAGTTGCGGATCGGGCTTTGAACCGGAAGGGAGTTTTCAATGTGATTCGATCGATTTGGGGATCTAGGGATCTGGAAGATGTTCGCGAGCTGGGGAAAAATCTTTATGGTTTTTCTTTTAAAACCAGAAAAGGTTTGGAGTTTGCTCTCAACAATGGACCTTGGGCTATAATCGGACACCACCTGATCTTACAGCGATGGGAGATTTCTAAAGGTGTGAAGGAGATAGAGTTCAAGGAGATTGCATTTTGGATCCAGGTACATAATTTGCCCCTTGAAATGCAAACTATGACAAATGCTAGAAGAATTGGAAGTACTTTAGGTCGTATAATGGATATTGAGGATCCTTCTTGGAATCTAGGTATTGGTAGAGGATTTTTGAGAATTAAGGTTGCTATTGATGTTAATAAACCTCTGGTTGGGGGTTTTTGGGTACCTAAAGAGAATAATGGAAGATTGTGGTGTGAAATTAAGTATGAACGGTTTGCTGATTTTTGTTATGAATGTGGTAGGATGGGGCATACTGAGAAAACATGTGGTTTTGTACATGAGTCAGAAAATTTAGTTAAGAAATATGGAAGTTGGTTAAGAGCTGCTCCTTTAAGGGATGCTGGTAGAGGGGATAGGGAATGGAAAAGGGAGGATGAACAAGGGGCTGAAATGATGACCCCTCATAATCAAGCTAGATTGATGAAAGAGTGGAATGTAGAACAATGGAGATTTGTGGATGTTGAAGAAGCTGGGAATGTGGACTCTAGTATTGAAAAGGAAAAGACAGAGTTATCTCATGAATCTACTAACTCTCTCGAGGAGGTGCAACAAAATCCTAATCTCCCTGAGCCGGTTAGGCTTTCCCCAAAGATTTCTACTACTACAGAAATACCTGAAACCAGTTCTCGTCCTGCTTCAACCTTTGTCAAAACCAATATCATTCTTCAGCATTTATATAGTACAGTTGAATCTAATCCTTCTCAAACAGAAATACACAACACTAATCTTGTCTCTGAAAACCATTTGTCTAAACAGCTTTCCATTTCACCTACAAAAAATCCTGTTGTTACTGTTATAAACCATGAGGGTGAAGCTGAACCTGGCTATAAAGTTGAGTTTCCTGCAGAAGAAGATGATGATGACAAGGGATTAGTTGAAATACGGAAGGATGATGTAGCTGAGCAAGCATTGGGAGTCCTTGTTCCTGTTTTCCAACAAATGAATTTGAAGAGAAGTGTAGATCACTATGATGTGGACACGATTGATGGGGGAAGGTCGAAAGCAAGAAAGATTGATCTCAATGAGATGCTGTTGAAAGTTTATGAGGAAAATGAGCAGCTGGGAAACAAAGAAAATGAGTGTGTTATTGAGAAACAGTCGGTAATGGAAAATAAGACAGCAGGGGGCAAGAGACAGATTAAGAAGTTTCAAAAAGTTTATTCTGGGCAGTGAAGCAGAAGAAAGAAGGTGCTAACAGAGTTTGAAATTCAGAAGAACTTTGAGTTATATGAAGTACCTATTTCTGGTGGTAATGAGTTGGTAACCCTGCCCCAAGGAGTTGCTCCTTCTAAAGGAATTATTACTGACAGGTTAGGTGGCTAGCCTCTTGCAGCCACCAAGGATACATGAGGTACTTAAGTTGGAACTGTCAAGGTATAGGGTCGGCCTTGACAGTAAATAACCTTCACAATCTGAGAAGGAAATATGACCCCCAGTTTCTGTTTTTAATGGAAACAAAAAATAAAGAAAAGAAACTAGAAGTTTTGAGAAGAAAAATGCATATGGAAGGGAGGATTTATGTTGAACCTGAAGGGTTAAGTGGGGGATTGGCTTTATGGTGGGTTGCGGGTATTTCGGTGGAAGTTGTGGATGCTACAAAAAATTTTATTGATGTTCGTGTTGAAGATGATATACAGGGGGTTAAGTGTAGGATCTGTTGGGTGTATGGTCCTCCAAAATTTGCTGATAGAAAAGTTGTTTGGGAGATGATAAAAGGAAGGGCAAAGGACTTTGATGGGCCATGGATGATGTTAGGTGACTTCAATGACTTTCTCTATCACCATGAGAAAGAAGGTGGAAAAGAGAGAAATCCTCAGAAACTTCAGTGTTTCAGGAATATGATGGATACCTGTGGACTTTTTGATCTTCATTACCAGGGTCAAAGGTTTACATGGTTAGACAAGAGAGAAAGTTTGATTAAAGAAAGGATTGATAGAGCAATAGCTAACATGCAATGGATGGAGACTTTTGCCAAAACTCAGGTTTTTAATCTTCCAATTGTAGGGTCAGATCACTCGCCAATCCTTGTTGATTCTAATTTTTGTGACAAGAAGGTTCCAAAGCAGTTTAAGTTTGAGATTATTTGGGATGAGAAAGAGGAATGCGAACAGATCATAAGGGATGGATGGAGCAGTGCTTTTCAGGGTTCTCATTCTTATCAAGTGGTTCAGAAACTTAAGAAGTGCAGAAGAATGTTAATAGCATGGAGCAAGAAAGCCTTCCCCAATAATAAGAAAGTGGTTGAGGAATTGATGAATGAGGTGGCCACTATTCAAGATAAAGATGTTTCAGTAGAATGCTGTCAAAAGGTGGAAAAACTTATTGCAGATATTAAAAAAGCATGGGATTGTGAAGAAAAATATTGGATGCAAAGATCCAGGGTGAATTGGTTGCAGCATGGGGATAATAACACAAAGTTTTTTCACCATAATACATTGGCAAGAATGCAACATAATAAAATTCTCAGTATTAAAAATGAAGATGGAGAATGGGTGGAGAATGAAGATGAGATTCTTGGCACTTTTCAGAAGTTTTATGAAAAGCTTTTCACTTCAGGTGGAAGCAATAATTGGAGAAATATCCTGGATAATATTCCTGCTTTGGTGAGTGAGGACATGAATATTGATCTGTTAAGAGATGTTGAGGATGAGGAAATAAAAGCTGCTGTTTTTGAGTTAGGTGCCCTTAAAGCTCCAGGGCCTGATGGTTATAATGGCTGGTTTTATCAGAGATATTGGAAGATTGTGTGTGATAGTGTGATCAAAGCTGTCAAATGTTTTTTCACTAGTGGACATCTCTTAAAGGAAATCAATAAAACAAATGTGATTCTGATTCCAAAAGCGAAGAAAGCTGAAGATGTGGGTCAATTCAGACCTATTGCTTGTTGCAATTTTTTGCACAAAATAATTGCAAAAGTAATGGTTAATAGGCTCAAGCCTCATATGGATTCACTAATTACTCAAAATCAGAGTGCTTTCATTGCACAAAGACAAATCCAGGATAATATTTTGGTGGCAAATGAGGCATTCCATTACCTCAAGCTAAAGAAGAAGGGTAAAAAAGCAGATATGGCCATCAAAATAGATATGAATAAGGCATATGATCGGGTGGAGTGGAAATTCCTAGAAGCTATTCTCCATAAGATTGGATTTGAAAACAAATGGGTCAGGTGGTTGATGGAGTGTGTTTCTTCTGTGTCTTACAACATTTTTGTCAACGGTAAAGGGTCCAATACCATCTATCCAAGTAGAGGTCTGAGGCAAGGGGACCTTTGTCCCCTTACCTTTTCCTTTTTGTCATAGATGTTTTATCTAGGATGTTAAATTCTGCCTCTGAGTCTGGATCAGTAACTGGTATTAGAATGTCTAGGAATTGTCCCTCTTTAACTCATATTTTTTGCAGATGATTCACTGTTTTTCTTGGCAGCCAACAAGCAGAATTGTGAGACTATGGTTGCTATCCTGGAGGACTATAGTAGAGCATCAGGGCAAATGATAAACCTAAACAAATCAAGAGTGGTTTTCAGTGCTAATGCAAAGCCGGAACAAAAGGAAGAGATGAAGAGTATCCTGCATATGGAGGATGCACCACACACTGGCAATTATCTGGGCATTCCATCTTTTTGGGGCAAGTCAAAACGGCAAGCCATGGCCTATGTGAAAGAGAAGGTGCTAAAGAAACTGAGCATATGAAAACATAATCTTTTAAATCAAGCTGGAAAGGAGGTACTTATAAAATCTGTAGCTAGTGCCATTCCTATATACACTATGCTTTGCTTTAAGATTCCTAAGAATATTTGTGATGAGATAAATAGTGTTATGGCAAATTTCTACTGGGGACAGGGGGATAATGAGAATAAGATTCATTGGAAAGGGTGGAAGTCTCTTACTAATAGTAAATGTGAAGGTGGTATAGGGTTCGGAGATTTGAATACTATAAATATAGCTTGTTTAGGTAAACTGGTGTGGAGATTTGTAAATAATCAGGATGCTTTATGGGCTAGAATTTTGAAAGGAATTTATTTTCCAAACTCTACAATCTGGGATGCTAGAAAGGGAGCTCGGGCTTCTTGGGCCTGGACTAGTATTTTAGAAGGGAGAAATTTTGTAAAAGATAATAGTCAATGGTTGATTAGAGGAGGGTCTGATGTTCATATTTGGACTGATAAATGGGTGTTGAAACAGGGGAAGGTAGAGCTTAGAGATGATGAGGCTAGTATTGATTTAGACTGGCAACCTAAAATGGTCAGTGAATTAATTGACAAAGAGAATGTTATATGGCGCACTGAGTTGATTGAGGATAGAGTCTTTGAAAGGACTGTACAAGCTATTCAGAATATGCCTATCAATGAGGAAGGGGGTCAGGACAGACTGATATGGCCTGCTGATAGAAATGGAGAATATTCTGTAAAAACGGGTTACATTGTGAAGAAGACTCAAGAAGAGAAAATTATGAAAAGAAATCCTTCAAGCTCTCATACAGTTGCTACAAAAACCTGGAGGATTATTTGGTCCATGAAAGTACCTCGCAAAATTCGGAGTTTTTTATGGAGGGTGTGTTCGAACTCAATTGCTACAAACTACTTGTTATGGAAAAGGAGAATTAAAGATAATCCTTGCTGCCCTTTTTGCTTAGAATTTGATGAAACTCCTGAACACTTACTGCTTTTATGTCCTTGGACTAGATGTGTGTGGTTTGGAACTGATCTAGGTTATAAGTTGGAGAAGGAATCCATTTCTACTTTTGATACATGGCTAGAAAATGCAGTTTCTGATGAGTGTAGTCATCAAGAAAAGGAACAAATTTATATCAGGATAGGTTATACTTGCTGGTGTATTTGGAAAGAAAGGTGCAGGGCTGTCTTTGAACTTTGTGAACCTAATCCTGGCAAGGTCAATGATCAAATTAGAAGAGGAGTAGCTGAAAGTATAGGTCTGATAAAAGTAGAAACGGTAGCTAAGGAGATAGAGCAAAAATGTATGAACTGGGAACCTCCTGAAGATGGTTGGTTGAAAATGAATTGCGATGGTGCTTATAATGATTCATCAATTGAGAGTGGGATCGGGGTTATAATTAGAGATAAAGATGCCAGTATTGTTACAGGGCTAAACAAGACTGTTAAAGCCTGTTCTTGTCAAATGGCAGAAGGTTTAGCTATGCGAGAAGGTCTCAAACTGGCTCGAAGAAGAAGAATCCCAAAAATCATTGTGGAGACTGATTCTTAAATTTTGTACAGAAATATTACAAAGGCAGAAAAGTGTAATTGGGAGATTGCTCCGATTGTTGAAGACATACAGTCTTTGTTAAACAGCTTTGATGACAGTAAGATCAGATGGGTTGCAAGAGAGGCTAACAAAGCTGCGGATTGGCTAGCTCAGCAGTCCAAAAGGAAGTTGTGCATTGATAATTGGGTTAACAAACCCCCAACTTCCTTAGTCTATATTCTAAACAGGGATGGTCTTCCAGCGCCTCCCCCCTTATAAATATTTCTAACCCAAATCACTTTATAGAGGGCTTTTGTTTAGCTTAACCTCTGATAGTGGTTGGGTTTCTCTCTGTTTGTTCTGTTGATGCTTTCATATGAGCTCTGTACTTGACTCTTTGAATTTGATAATCAATGAAATTTCTTTTTGGCCAAAAAAAAAAACCTAAATGAAGGAGTGATGTCCTTTTCCTAGGTTATTATAGTAATTTTGAGAACAATTTATTTATAGGTTAGAAGATATAACATGTATGTGTTGTGTGATAAGTTGAATTTGTGGCACCAACACTTGATTGGTTCAAATAGTTCGGTACTTGGTTATGTTAACCTTCAACCCTGAAATCGGTAATCTACATTGAATCCTTCCTTTTTTTTTTTTGGTGGACGGGGGAGGGAGAGAAGTAGGCATAGATTTGATGCTTTTTTTTTTTTTTCGAACTTGATGCCTTCTTCAATGATGTTGTTCTTCGCAAGTGTTAAGTAGATGAAGTATTTTTCTAAAAGGAAATAGTCATAATTTTGTTTTATTTGTTAAGTTCTTTTTATTTTTTTTTTGATACAATTGGTTAAGTAGAAATTAGTAAGTAGTATGTAAATTTGTTATCCATGGTTAGGTTCTCATGACTTATGTTGTGAGATAAAAGTTGGGCTAATTGCTCAAATAAGGACCTATCGTTTGTCAAAATGCTTAAATAAGTGTCCGATCTTTTAATTTGGTCAAATAAGGGCTTAACGTTATCAAAAATGCTCAAATAAGGATCCGATCTTTTAATTTGGCCAGATAAGGACCTAACATTGTCGAAAATGCTCAAATAAGGGTCTGGTGTCAGTTTGGATGACGCGTGAGACAGGCCCTTATTTGAGCATTTTGGCAAACGTTAGGCCCTTATTTGGCCAAATTAAAAGATCAGGTCCTTATTTGAGCATTTTGGCAAACATTAGACCCTTATTTAGCCAAATTAAAAGATCGAGACCTTATTTAAGCATTTTGACAAACATTAGGCCCTTATTTGAGCAATTAGCCTAAAAGTTGACATTGTTTCACTTGTTAAAAGAACGTGGAAACACTTACACAACATTCCAATGTCACGTGGGGCTTACTTAGAGTCTTTGGATTTGGATTACATTGTTAGATTGTTCTTTTGGTCTATTAATGGAAATAATTTGTATGGAGCGGGTTAACTTGTACACTTGCTGTAAGAGTCCGTTTGGAAGTTTTTATAGAAAGTAAAAAGTAAAAAGTCTTTCTATAGAAGGCGTAGGACTAGAAAATTTTCTCTCAAGAAAATACTTTAAAATGTTTGTTTAACCTTCTAAAATCTAAATTAAATTCTTAAGAAAGTGTTTTATCCTTCATAAAAAACGTGAAAAAGTATT